CCCTGAAACTTCAAACTAATCGTACCAACACATCCCATGACATCGTTCAAACTTATTCAACACTTTGGAACGCTTACAACGACATCAAATCACCAATTTAACATATGCTTCAAGCCTAAGAACTCCAAGAACTCTTAAATTATGCTTTCGATCAAAAAGTCTATCAAATCTCGTCCGAATGACCTGAAATTTTGCACACACATCCCAAATGACACAACGAAGTTACTACAACTCTCAAAATTCCATTCCGTCCCCTATATCAAAATCTCGCCTAACAACCGTAAATCGCCTAAATATCAATTTCGCCAATTTAAGCCTAAATCTTTCCTACAACTCTAAAACCCAATCCGATCGCACTTCGAAGTCAAAATCACCTCCTGAAGCTAACCAAACCATCAGAACTCATATCCAAGCCCTCTAACTCATAAGTCAACATCCGATTGACTTTTCCAACTTAAGCCTCCTTAAAAGAGACTAAGTGCCTCATTTCTTACCAAAACCATACCAAACGCAAACCAATCAACTCGACCACATAAAACACGGTGACGAAGTATAAAGAAACATAAATGGGGAAAACGGAGCGGTAACTTATGAGACGACTGACCGGGTTGTCACAATGAGCGGGGATGTTATACTTTGTATGGAGAGCATCAATGTGAACTTGTTCTGTTTCAAAGAGCATGAGGGCAAGAGTAGGAGGAGGTTCCTTAAGGAAGTCGCTTCGAGAGGTGTCTCAGAAGCAACTCCTCCATAGTGGGGAAACTATCCCCCTCCTCCACCATCATATCTTCACCGCCAGAGGAGGGCACCACAGACAACTGGGCGGCCTCAGAAACCCCCTCATGAGATCGATGTGTTCTTGGCATTTCTNATCTTGGCATTTCTTCGATGAAAAAGGTGTTAAAACAGTAGAGAAGGTTGTTATAACAAACTTGGGAGGGATGAGAAAGGATAAGAAGAAATAAAATGGCCAAGAGTTTTTGAAAAAACAAACCCTCCACCTATTTATAGGATTGGGTGGCACCAGTTTCGAAGCGAAAGGTTGCAGAGTGGCACCGAAATCAAAGCGACAAGCCCTCAACCACTGTATCGAAAACACGCATAATGATGACGCACGTGGAGATGACGTCATTACCCGATAAAATACACTATCTGGTGTCTTGCTGAGTACACTGACCGCCCATTATTGGCCAAGTCGTAACGCCTCGTAAGACCAAATTTCTCCATAAGAGCGAGCGGTGTCCGCTTATCGAGGATGAACCAAGTTGCAACCTTCACAAGCGGAGGGACTAACTGTATGGATCCAAATTTGGATGATCATGACTACTGATGAGTACGACAAGTGACGAGATCCTCGTAGCTCGACATCACTACATGGACAATAGACGAGAGAACAAGAGACTGTACTACCTTCACAGCAGCGTAGGTCCATTAGGAATACTCTTTCGAATATTCTCTATGATTTGTCTTTTAGGGCTTAGAAGGGGTTTGTCCCTTATATATATAGCGTAAAGAAAATGTTGTACAGGGCTTCTTTTGCATTTTTCACAAGTAAGAACACTTTCTGTAACACTTGCTTACAAAACGATTAATATCAGTATTGTTCGATCATTCTTGATAAGTTCAAGAAATATTATCCTTTGTAATCATCTCGCATATCTTTTGTTCTAGAAATTATTATACTTGGCTAAGATTTACCCCTTCATTTCCTTAAGTTGATTTATTAAAAAAGATCCCAATATCTTTTGAGTCAAACAATAGTCATGTACTAATTAATTGTGAGATTTAAGAAGCAACTTTCATTGGTACCTATTGGTTCAAATATTAAGCTAGTAAAGAAGATTTATTATACATAAGATAACATACGATATAAATATTTAGTGGACCTAATTTATAATTAGGTATACCAGTGAGCATTATTAATAATTTTAGATAACAATAGAGATGGAATAGTAATAATAATAATACGGACCTGAACCTTATACAGCTAAAATTAGGATTTAGGAATTGGAGTATATATTTTACAACTGGTCCATTCAATAAAGAATATTAGGGTAAAACACTTACTGTGTCGGTATGGTTATTTCCCCCACTGTAGCGTTGGAACCATTGTAGAAAAGATACCAGGTATGTGTATTCTTAATTCTTTCATACAGTGGTAGATTGGTAGGAGGGACAAACATTATAGCAATGATGTGCTTAAGAATTTGTATAGAAAATCAATCAGGATATCATAATTGCAAGTAATAATGAACTAAGAATTGAAATTGAAATATTGTTAAGGAAAAATTAGTAACGTTGCAGACTTGTTACTTCTTCCTTAATTAGGAGACAATCATTATATAACAATTAGAGGGTAATGATAAAAATGTTTGGAAATTGGAAAAAATTTGAAGCGCATAGTTTTAACTTTCCAGTGGATGGACGTGACTAGTATGTGACATTGGAGTGGTGATTGTTATTAATGTTACAATTATCAGGTACTGATTGGGAGGTAAAATAACTAGGCAACTGTGAGTTATTAGTACAGTTAAACATAAGATATTAAATTTGGAAGGCACTGTTACAGAAAAATATATGAAGTTCAGTGTTATTACTCTTAACTAGGAAGTAATTATCAATAAAATATCCTTACTGTAATGATAAGGTTGAGGATATCTATGGTATAGATAACATGATGACTTTTGAGAGCCACTATTCGGTAATTTGTGCACAATGAAAGTGCTTTCTTAGACACTTAATTGTATACAAATTCTTTTATTAATTGGACAGAGGGTTGACTTTAATTTTGACTCGTCCTAAGATTTTAGAAATTATTCACCTAGATTAATTAGGATGTGTTATTCAATATTTTGGATAGATTGAGGCCATTGGAGGCTGTTTGGTTGGTGTTCTAGGCATTGCAAGGTTGGAGAACTTTCTGTTAGTGAGGTAAGTGAGACTTTAAGCTTTGATACTTGCTTTTCTAAAATCCGTTTTTAAAGTGTGTTTTCTCTGCCTGGTCCATGTGTTAGGACAAGTGTGTGCTTGGCAGAGTCGGTGGTCTTAGACTATCCGCAAATATATTATTTTATGAAAAAAATAAATAAATATTATTTTATAAGTTATTTGATAGTGTGATACGGTTGTGCGCCATGAGATTGAGTCTTATACTTTGATTCGGCTGTGCGCCATAATATTGAGTTTGATACGGCTGTGCCCCATGATATTGAGTTTGATACAGCTGTGTGCCATAATGTTGAGTTTGATACGGCTCTGCGCCATGATGTTGAGTGTGATATGGCTGTGCGCCATGATGTTGGGCATTGTGTATGCCTTTGTACATCACCCGAGCATTGTGTATGCTCTGTTACATATTTGAGGCATTGTGGTGCTGTTGTGGACACGTAAGTGTGTTGGTAAATTTTTTTCACTACAATAATGATAAGTCCTTAGTTGGTATTCTTGTTAGTTAATTCTTAATAACTTTGTTGATACACATATATTGAGTTATTGTATAATTATCATATTTATTATATCATTCGTATTGTGGTGTGTTTGTATTTTCTAACACTTGTTCCAGAGGTATTTAAAGTGGCGGGTCGATGATCTTACTGGGTTATATTTATGTATTACTCACTCCTTACCTGCATCTTTATGCAGATACCGTTGCGGGAGATAGAGCTAGTGCCTGACGAGTTTGTTCGAGCGGGTCCTATTGCTGAGGTGAGCCACCGCATTGTTCGTGGAGGCTTTCGATTCAGACTTACCTAGTTCGTGTTAGTTATTTTCTTTTTCTTTGGGGTTTGTATACCCGTCAATAAAAAATTATATTACTCTGTTAGATGCTCCATGGTCTTAGTGTGGGATTTGGGCTAGAGTTTTATTATTTGAGTGATTGTTGGTTTTCCTATCAATTGACTAAGGTATTGGGCGATGATCATTTCCTATTTAATTAATAATAATACTATTAGGCCTTCATTTTATTTGTCCCTGAGTGGTTTTGTAAATGGTTAAATGTTAGAGAAAGAGGTTCGCTTGGAGGTGTTAGATCGGTGCCAATCACGTCTAGGGGGTAGTTTGGGATGTGACAAAGTTGGTATCAGAGCCGAGCTTTAAGTACCGGGTCATGGAGCAGTAGTAGGGTCTTGTTCATGAGTATGTAGGCGCCCATACTTATGATCTTGAGGCTACTAAGCATTTAGAATATTTTCCCTTCCTTCATTCCTTGATCGTGCGTTGAGATAACTTGAGTTTGACTTTGGATTGTTTCTTTCGCAGATGGCTAGGACATGCACACCCTCATCTGCTAGACGTGTGCTGGACGAGGTACTTCCCAAGGTGGTGGTCAAGTTGGAGCTCAACAGACTAGAGCTCAGACTAGTAGAAAAGCCGCTCCTCATCCTGAAGTTGTGAACACGGGTTCCCATGCAACTATGCTAGATCGAGTGCAAGAACAAGTGGTTCATGATGCTCCACCACCAGTCCCAGTTGATGTGCCTACTGTTACCTTACCAGCAGGTGCAGTGGTGAGGTTGTTGACTGTGTTAGAGGCGTTAGTGCCTACTCAGGGTGGACTTCCAGCTCCCCGGATTACTTCGCAGGCACAAGCATAGGTTCAACTGAATGTTGCAGCTCCTCAGATGGCCCCTCAGCAGGTCGTTCAGCCAGTGGCAAATACAGGGTAGTCTAAGAATCTTAAGAATTTCATGGATCTTAAGCCACTAGAGTTCGATACTACACAACCTTCTATTGAGCCCCAGAAGTTCATTCAGCGTTGTGAAAACATACAATCTACTTTGGGGCTGAAGGAGACTCGAGGGGTGGAATTTGCCACTTTTCTATTTTCAGGATCTTCAAAGTCATGGTGGAATTCAGTTCAAAGAGGTAGACGAGCAGGGTTGCAACCTATTACTTGGTCAGAGTTTTCAGTTATGTTTATGGATAGGTTTGTTCCACTGAGCAAGCGAGACGACATGAGACATCAATTCGAGCAACTGCGCTAGGGTAGTATGATGATTATGGAGTATGAGGCTAAGTTCACTGACTTAGCCAGTTACACACCTTTTCTAGTTGCAGATGAGCATGAGAAGGTGAGGAGGTTCATGGATGGACTTGAGCATCGTTATCGGGGTCCTGTGGTTAGGGATGTTCGAGGTGGTTCGTACGAAGAGGTAGTTGACACTGCTCTTCGTTATGAGTTCTATCAGGAGAGGGACAGGTCCTAATGAGAAAGTTTAAGGGCTCGTAGCACCAACGGGTTTAGTAGAGCTCTATTTAGGGGCAAGAGTGGTTTTAATCGTGGGCAGTCCAGACCTACTCAGTCAGAGTCAGTGGTGCAGTCTTCTAGGAGTACTTATCTATCTAAACAGGGGTAGCAGTAGATACAGAGGAAGGATAATGGCTCATATTAGTTAGGTCAATATCCGAGGTGTTCGAATTGTGGTAGAAATCACAGTGGTCGTTGTTTTGGAACAGATGGGGCTTGTTTTACTTGTGGTCAAAAAGGATATATTTCTAAGTATTGTCCAAGAGGATATTCTGCTACTAGCCATGCTACTCTACAGCCGTAGAGAACATTTACAGGTACATAGACTCAGACTCAGCCAGCTAGAGCCACTCCGTAGGTTGCTCGTGGACAAGGTCAGCAGGGTGCAAAAACTGCTCAGGGAGCGGGTGGACCGCCTAGATTCTTTGCTATGGCCAGACAGGATGCCGAGGCATCTAATGCAATAGTCACATGTATTATCACTATCGATTCTTATGGGGCTTACGCTCTTATTGATCCTGGTTCTATATATTCATATGTATCTCCATCCTTTTCCATATACTTAGAACGAGACGTTGAGTTTCTTAATATTCCTTATATAGTGGTGACCCCAATGGGGTAGACTATATCTGTGGATATAGTCTATAGAGACTGTGTGATATTTATTCAGGGTAGAGACACCGTAGTTGATTTACTAGTATTGCCTATTTCTAACTTTGATGTAATTATGGGTATGAATTGGTTTGCGTTATGTTATGCTTCAGTTGATTGTCATTCTAAGCTTATACATTTTGATTTTCCTGGAGAACCATGTTTAGTGTGGAAAGCATAACTCCTCTAGCTCAGGGAAAGATAATATCCTATGTAAAAGCACGTCGAATGATTTATAATGGGTGTTGGGGTTTTATTGCTACCGTTCATGATACGCGATTGGAGGATGTTACTATTGATAGTTTTCCAGTGGTTCGAGAATTTGTTAATGTGTTTCCAGAAGATTTACCCGGGCTTCCTCCGACAAGAGAAATTGAATTCAGTATTGATTTGGTTCCAGGAACTCAATCTATCTCTATTCCTCCATACCGTATGGCTCCAGCGGAGTTGAGAGAATTAAAGGTTCAACTTCAAGAGCTACTTGATAAGGTCTTGATCAAGTCTAGTGCGTCACCATGGGGTACACCTGTGTTATTTGTTAAAAAGAAAGATGGCATGATGAGAATGTGTATTGATTACAGGCAGCTGAATAAGGTGACGATCAAGAATAAATATCTGTTGCCACGTATTGATGATCTATTCCACCAGCTACAAGGTACAACTCACTTTTCAAAGATTGACCTAAGATCGGGTTACCATCATCTGAGAATTAAGATCGAGGATATATCAAAGATAATGTTTCGGACCAGGTACTAGCATTTTGAATTTTTGGTGATGTCCTTCGGGCTTACTAATCCCCCCACAACATTTATAGACCTCATGAACAAGGTATTCAAGCCATTCTTAGATCATTTTTTGATTGTATTTATTGATGACATTTTGGTCTACTCTCGAAGTGAGGCAGAACATGAACAACACTTGAGAGTTGTGCTACAGACACTTAGGGAGCGGAAGCTTTATGCCAAGTTCTCAAAGTGTGAATTTTGGTTGGATACAATTTCCTTTTTGGCACAAGTGGTGTCATAATATGGGATTCAAGTTGATCCAAAGAAGATAGCAAGATTGGCCTCGGCCCACTACTCCTATAGAGATACGTAGCTTCTTAGGCCTAGCCGGATATTATAGAAGGTTTGTTGAGGGTTTCTCAAAGGTAGCCAATCTATTGACTCGATTAACTTAGAAAGGTGCTACATTTCAGTGGTCAAATGAGTGTGAAGAAAGTTTTCAGAAATTGAAGACCGCATTGACTACAGCTCCGATTTTGACACTACCTACAGGTGAAAGGGGTTTTACTATGTATTGTGATGCGTCTAGAGTCGGTTTGGGTTGTGTGCTGATGTAGAATGACAAGGTAGTAGCTTACGCTTCTCGATATCTAAAGAACCATGAAAGAATTATCCAACTCATGACTTAGAATTGATTGCGATCGTATTTGCACTTAAGATCTGACGTCACTATCTTTATGGTGAGCCATGTGAAATCTATACTGATCACAAGAGCCTGCAATATATATTCAAGCAAAGAGATCTGAATTTGAGGCAGAGATGATGGTTAGAATTACTTAATGACTATGATCTTACTATTTTATATCATTCCGAGAAGGCGAATGTGGTGACAGACACCTTGAGTAGAAAGTCTATGGGTAGCTTGGCCCGATTTACTGCTGAAGAACGACCTATGGTTATGGATATTCAGGCGTTGGCCAATCGGGTAATGCGTATTGATCATACATTGCCGGGCAGATTACTTGCGAGTTTGATATCACAATCATCCTTGGTTGGACAGGTCAAGGCTCGTCAATATGAAGATTCCCATCTTGCTAAATTCCGAGATCGAGTGCAGAATGGTGGTGTTAAGCCATTTGCTATTGATAGTGAAGGTGTGTTACATCGACATGGTAGATTGTGTATCCCCATGGTAGGTGAGGTGAAGCAGTTGATTCTCGAAGAGGCTCATAACTCCCGCTATTCTATCCATCCAGATGCTACTAAAATGTATCAAGACTTGCGTGAATTGTACTGGTGGAAAGGTATGAAGTATGATATTTTGAAATATGTGACTAGTTTCTTTATCAGCAGGTGAAATATGAACACCAAAAATCAGGTGGTGTGATGCAGAATTTAATTATCCCGGAGTGGAAGTGGGAAAGGATTACTATGGATTTTGTAGTTGGGTTGCCATATCTGATCATGGACAGACTCACAAAGTCAGCACATTTTATACCGGTTCGAGTTACTCACACTACAGAACAGTTAACAGATATTTACCTCTGTGAAATAGTCCGACCTCATGGTGTGCCTATTTTGATAATATCAGATCGGGGTGCACAGTTACTGCTGAGTTTTGGAAGTCCTTCAGAAGTCATTGGGTTCTTAGGTTTAGTTGAAATAGCTTTCCATCCACAGACGGACAGACAGTCCGAACAGGTTATTTAGATCTTGGAGGACATGCTTAGAGCTTGTGCAATCAATTTTGGTGGGCATTGGGACAATCAGTTGCCGTTAGCAGAGTTTTCTTATAATAACAGCTATTAGTCGAGTATACAAATGAAGTCGTTTGAAGCTTTATATGGTCGTAAGTGTCGTTCATCAGTTGGATGGTTTGAACCTGGTGAAGCACATCTATTGGGTCCAAATTTGGTTCAACAAGCTTTGGAGAAATTTGCATTTATATGAGAACGACTTTGGACAGCTCAAAGTAGACAAAAATCCTACACAAATAAGAGAGGTCATGATTTGGAGTTGATAAAAGGAGAAAAAGTCTTTTTGAAGGTGTCCTATATGAAAGGAGTCATGAGATTTGGGCGCAAAGGTAAGCTAAGTCCGAGGTATATTGGTCTGTATGAGATTTTAGATCAAATCGGATCAGTGGCGTATAAACTTGCCTTGCCTCCGAGTTTGTCTATGGTTCATCCCGTATTTCATGTGTCTATGCTTAGACGATATGTTCGTGATGATAGTCATAAGATTCATCCAGAGGATGTGGAGCTTGATGAGAACTTAACATATGAAGAAGGTCCGATAGCTATTCTTGATAGGAAAGTGCGGCAATTGAGGTCGAAAAAGGTTGCTTCAATGAAAGTATTACGGCGTAACCATCCAACAGAGGAAGCTACGTAGGAGTCCGAAGCAGAGATGCGAAGCATGTACCCTCAGTTGTTTGAGGTGTCAGGTAGACATTCTAACTCGTTCGAGGACGAACGCTTGTTTAAGTGGGGGAGAATGTAATAACCCGAATTATAGTCATGTACTAATTAATCGTGAGATTTAAGAAGTAACTTTCATTGGTACCTGTTGGTTCAAATATTATGCTAGTAAAGAAGATTTATTATACATAAGATAACATACTATATAAATAGTTAGTGGACCTAATTTATAATTAGGTATACCAGTGAGCAATATTTATCATTTTAGATAATAATAGAGATGGAATAATAATAATAATAATAATAATACGGACCTGAACCTTATACAACTAAAATTAGGATTTAGGGATTGGAGTATATATTTTACAGCTGGTCCATTCAATAAAGAATATTAGGGTAAAGTACTTACTGTGTCGGCGTGGTTATTTTCCCCCACTGCATTGGAACCGTTGAAGAAAATATACCAGGTATGTGTATTCATAATTCTTTCATACACTGGTAGATTGATAGAGCGACAAACAATATAGCAATGATGTGCTTAAGAATTTGTATAGAAAATCAATCAGGATATCATGATTGCAACTTGCAAGTAATAATGAACTAAGAATTGAAATTGAAATATTGTTAAGGAAAAATTAGCAACGTTGCAAACTTATTACTTCTTCCTTAATTAGGAGACAATCATTATATAACAATTAGAGGGTAATGATTAAAATGTTTGGAAATTGGAAAAAATTTGAAGCGCATAGTTTTAACTTTCCAGTGGATGGACGTGACTGTATGTGACATTGGAGTGGTGATTGTTATTTATATTACAATTATCAGGTAATGATTGGGAGGCAAAATAACTAGGCAACTGTGAGTTATTAGTACAATTAAACATAAGATATTAAATTTGGAAGACACTATTACAGAAAGGTATATGAAGTTCAGTGTTATTACTCTTAACTAGGAAGTAATTATCAATAAAATATCCTTACTTTAATGATAAGGTTGAGGATATATATGGTATAACTAACGTGATGACTTTTGAGAGCCACTGTTCGGCAATTTGTGCATAGTGAAAGTGCTTTCTTAGACACTTATAGCCCGTTTGGCCAAGTTGCAAAAATCTGCTTATTTTGAGAAGTGCTTCTTTTCAAAAGTGTTTTTCTCAAAAGTACTTTTGGTGAGAAGCATTTTGTGTTTGGCTAATTAGTTTGAAAAGCACTTCTGAGCAGCAGTGTTTGGCCAAGCTTTAAAAAACTATTTCTAAGTGTATTTTTCTCAAAAGTGCTTTTGGAGAGAAGCTACTTTTTTCTGCTTCTCCAAAACTGCTTCTGCTTCTCCTCAAAAGCACTTTTTTCCTTCCAAAAACTTGGCCAAACACCTCAATTTTTGGCAAAAAAAAAGCACTTTTGGCCAAAAAGAAGCTTGGTCAAATAGGCTATTAATTGTATACAAATTCTTTTATTAATTAGACAAAGGGCTGACTTTGATTTTGACTTGTCCTAAGATTTAGGAAATTATTCACCTAGATTAATTAGGACGTGTTATTCAATATTTTGGATAGAATGAGGCCATTGGAGGCTGTTTGGTTGGTGTTCTAGGCGTTGTAAGATTGGAGAACTTCCTGTTGGTGAGGTAAGTGAGACTTTAAGCTTTGATACTTGCTTTTCTAAAACCCGTTTTGAAAGTGTATTTTCTTTGCCCGGTCCATATGTTGGGACAAACGTGCGCTTGGCAAAGTCAGTGGTCTTAGACTAGCCTCAAATATATTATTTTATGAAAATAAATAAATAAATATTATTTTATAAGTTATTTGATAGTGTGATACGGCTGTGCGTCATGAGGTTGAGTCTTATAGTTTGATTTAGCTGTGCGCCCTGATATTGAGTTTGATACGGCTGCGCGCCATGATGTTGAGTTTGATACGGCTGTGCGTCATGATGTTGAGTTTGATACGGATGTGCGTCATGATGTTGAGTTTGATACGGATGTGCACCATGATGTTGAGTGTGATACGGCTGTGCGCCATGATGTTGGGGCATTGTGTATGCCTTTGTACATCACCTGAGCATTGTGTATGCTCTGTTACATATTTGAGGCATTGTGGTGCCGTTGTGGACTCGTAGGTGTGTTGGTAAATTTCTTTCACTGTAATAATGATAAGTCCTTAGTGGGTATTCTTGTTGGTTAATTCTTAATAACTCTGTTGATATACATATATTGAGTTATTGTATAATTATCATATTTACTATATCATTCGTGTTGTGGTGTGTTTGTATTTTCTAACACTTGTTCCAGAGGTATTTAAAGGGGCGGGTCGAGGATCTTACTGGGTTATATTTACATATAACTCATTCCTTACCTGCATCTTTATGCAGATGCCGTTGCGAGAGATAGAGCTAGTGCCTGACGAGTTTGTTTGAGTGGATCCTATTGCTGAGGTGAGCCACCGCATTGTTCGTGGAGGCTTTCGATTCACACTTACCTAGTTCGTGTTAGTTATTTTCTTTTTCTTTGGTGTTTGCATACCCGTCAATAAAAAAATCATATTACTCTGTTAGATGCTCCATGGTCTTAGTGTGTGATTTGGGCTAGAGTTTTATTATTTGAGTGATTGTTGGTTTTCCTATCAATTGACTAAGGTATTGGGCGATGATCATTTCCTATTTAATTAATAATAATACTATTAGGCCTTCATTTTTTTGTCCCTTAGTGGTTTTGTAAATGGTTAAACGTTAGAGAAAGAGGTTCGCTTGGAGGTGTTAGATCGGTGCCAATACTTTATTGTATAAGATAAAATAGTCCAACAAAAAGCTCTAGATTAGTAATATAAAGTTATGTGTCCTATATAACATTTGGTTTCCGGTATAAAACTTACAGTGCTAATATGTGTCCTATATAACATTTGGTTTCCGGTATAAAACTTGACAGTAATACAACATTTAGTTTTTGATATAAAACTCTACAAAAATAGTCTGGCGAGCCTCATTTTTTTTTTGGTTATAAGTTACTGGAGAGGTAATGAACCTCCAACATACAGGTGAATCATATGTATAGTGTCATGATGATCTATATCCTAAAAGAAAACATATGTTATCTTCTTCTACCATGTAAGGGTGTTCAAAGTCTATTTTTGATCAATAACAAGTAATATTTTACCTTATACGTAGTATAATTTTTCGGCGAAAGGTGGTCTGTAGACCACCCTTAGCTTGGGCCAACATAGCTTCGCCCCTGGGTGTCAAAGCCCTTACAGTTTTCCCCAAAAAGGCCTGTATCATTAAGAGATCCCTACACTTTATATGTAGGCTCCCAATTGTCACGATCCGAATTTTTCACCCTCGGGAGTAGTGATGGCACTTACTAGTGAGAGTTAGGCAAGCCAATCCTTAACTACTTACTTCATTATCAAATTACTTCTCTTAACAATTATAAAGCGATAACATGAAAAACTGCGGAATTTTAAATAATTAAGCGGAAGATAACAATTAAACATCTGAAATCTGCGTCTATTACAATTACTTAAATCTCAACCACCCAAAACCTGGTGTCATAGTGTCACAGACGGTCTAAGATTTACTACATACAAAGTCTGAAGAAATAATAATACACTGTTTCTGAATGTAAGGAAAATGAAACAGGAAAGTAGGGATAGAGGGAGACGCCAGGGCTTTCGGACGCCTGCAAGTCTACCTTGGATCTCCGCGTGGACTGAAGGTAGCCTCCACACTATGGTCCAAAATTTGCTCCGGAATCTGCACATAGTGTAGAGTATAGTATCAGCACAACCGACCCCATATGCTGGTAAGTGCCTAGCCTAACCTCGGCGAAGTAGTGACGAGGCTAGGACCAGACTACCAAATAAACCTGTGCAGCTCAAATATATAAAGCGAAAAAGAATACAAAGCTAACCAATCAATATGGGAAGAGGAGCATGTTGTGGGGAAGATAACAATTCCAAATAGAAAGACATCAAGTAACGAAGGAAACAACATAACTCGAATATCAATAAAGAATCAGAAATCAATAAATGCACGACATCACCCTTCGTGCTTTTACTCTTGTCCTCACCAAGGCAATTATATAACAAAATGTGTACGACATCACCCTTCGTGCTTTTACTCTCTTTCCTCACCATATAATCAATAATATCGGCATGGAATGGTACATCGTATGGCACGACATCACCATTCGTGCTTTACACTCTTTCCTCACCAAATCAAGCAATACACGGCATCACTCTTCGTGCTTTAACACTTTTCCTCACCCAAAAAACAAACACAAACAATGGGGCAGGGGAATAAACAAGATTATAATAGGAATTCCGGCACAATTCAACAATTAAGTCCCGGCAAGGAAGCAACATCAATAATATCAACGTCCCGGCAAGGGAGATAACCAATAAAGCAACAATATCCCGGCAAGAGAACAATTTAATAACTTCTTTCTCTTATTTACTTTTACTTCACAACTCACTTTACCACTTGAGACAATGCTCCAAAGGGTTCAATCAACTCATATAATTTTACAATTCGTAATATAACTTGAGCCTATGCTCCTCGATGTTTAAAGGTCACAATTCCTTCCACAAACTTTTCACAACAAATAGAAATCACCTCTAAAGCACGGATAATACAACGAAGTCATGAAAATCACAATATAAGACTCACGGTTATGCTTGACACCAACGTATAGATACTCGTCACCATGCCTATATGTCGTACTCAACAAGAAGCAATAGCAAATAGGACACAACTCCTAATTCCTCAAGCTAAGGTTAGACCAAACACTTACCCCGAACTTCCATGGCCAACTCAAGCCTCAAACACCGCCTTTCCTTTGGAATTTGGACCCAAGACAATCGTATCTATACATAATCGACTTAGTAACATCAATAAATGCCAAACAATCCAATTCCAACACCTAATTATAGCCTTCTAATCATTCTTCCAAAAAATCCAAAAATTGACCCCGGGCCCGGTTGGT